TTTTGCCTTGGGATGACATTGAAATTCGTTGTCAAATTTAAAATAAAAAATAAAATTGAAGACACCCCTATTTTTTTTTTATTTTTTTTTTCGTGCTTGTAAGTTTTAACTGCTAAAAATGGAGTTGTCCGGGCCCAGACGTCCAGCACCCCCCTGGCTGTCCGGCCAGGACGTCTTGCCATCACACCAAACATTCCGAACATACCCCAGGGTCCCCCGCACAAGCAAAGTTTTGCTTCGCAGGCAACGGCTGTCTCCAATTCGTCGTGGCTCACTGGATATGAGGTCCGATCCGCTTCGCAATGTCGTTGAAAACGGGACGAGGGAGCTTGCAAAACCTCTTCAACACCTTGTCATGTCGTTCTCCCTGGCGCTGCAGGCCCTTCCACAAACCACCACTCCTTTCTAGCACCCACACTCTCCTCCTGCCCGTCACGCGGTCCTCTACACCGGCCGATAACGCCAACAACATAGAAAGGCTGTGGCAAATGACCCCTCCAAGCATCATCATGGCCATGGCCAATTCGTTGTCACGCAGTGGCAAAATAGAAGCCACCTCGAGGACAACCATGGCTGCCACAATATGGCAACTCACCCACTGGATGACGGCAACCACGAAAAACAACAGGCGGTCTTCCCACTCGTTGTCCATGTCTCCGCTCCTCCGTCCGCCCCTACCTCCCTATCCTGTCTCGAAGCCCCCCCCCAACCCCAACGTCACTTCTCTTCTCTCTGCGATGATATGGAGATGGCGGTACGGCACATCGGAGGCAGATACAGACCCCCAACAGCAACTCGCACTGTCGGTCACAGCATCACTGAAACTCGCACATTGAATTCGGTCACAACATCACGGCAGCATCAAGGCACAACAGAGTACTGAGAGTAGGCATTCAAAAAATGCGGTCGTTGAACCATCCTTCCGTCAGCTCAGGCAGATATGCGTTCGTGCGCGAGCGCCCCCCTCCCTCCGCCCACCCGTTGGGCCCACGGGTGTCGCACACCCTCACCCATTTCGTGCCACAGCGTCACCCACAGTGTCCCACGTTGGTGCACATGGAATGCACCACACACCTACGCGCGTGGACTCAGGAACACATATGAAACAGGCACGCTTTCCTTTTCGGGAGACTTTGGGGTCGACTTTCCTGTTTCGGGAACGCGCGTGGCCTGCAAGGGCACATTTTTGCAGTGGCAGTGGGGTCCCCTATTCTGCTCGCTCTCCGTTCACGGCGGCCTCACGATGCCAACTTCTGCCAGATCGCTTTCCAGGCTTCCAGCCTCCCACCCTTAGGCCGATCTGTCTGTGATGTTCTGTGGTGCACATGATCTATGGGTGATGATAGACATTTGCCTCAGTGCCTTTGGGTCTCGTTAGGCCCTCCTTGGAAATCCAATTTTTAGACAATCGCCGTCATTACACTACGTCCTAATTCATCAAATTCCTTGAATGAATGTGAAAACGCTCCCGAGAGATTTTCTAGGGTTCCTCGGAATCCCCACTGGCAGCCAAAACGTCCTTGGATACAAGGGGTCCTCGCGAGGTCCCTTGGGTTAAAGGAGCCGTGATTGACGGAGTGTTCTGGAGCGAGCACCGATAGGAGGATTTGGAGTCGATGTTGGTGCACAGGTCGTTCGTGGTCCATTGGGCGGACATTGCCATCCTCCAGTACGAGATAGGGCCCCAACGACCTTCCACCATTACCGTTGGTGCGGAAATGCGTGGAGGTGGTTCTTCAGCTGCAAGGCGCTTCACGAAGCGGGGTTTTCCATACGCACGTCGCCGGCCGTGGTGTCGAACGGTCAAATTTGTTAATTTTTATACATGCGATGTTGAAGCACTGCCGGCCGATTGCAGTCGTCTGCCTAATGTGTTTTGTCGGCTATTGTCGGATGCATTGATGCAAGCTTTGTTTGGTTCACGCCTCGTGTCGTGCGATGCATGGCGGACGTCCTCCGACGGTTCCCGCTCCTGCTGCTGGCCACTCTTCTCCTGCTCGTTGTCGTGTTGTTCCACGTGTGCATCGTTGTGCGGGGTCCTGGCAGCAAACAAAAACGACGAACAGTGAGGAAGACGACAATGGACAGGTGGGAAACCTCCAGTAGAAAGTCGACACGCGCCTTTGACTACTCCACTCCACAACCGGCGGGCGGGGCGTCTCGTGCAGACGCGTATGACCAGACTTTGTACAATCATCTCCCACCTCATGAGTAGTCATTACCACCGGATCCCGAAGAGTAATGGGTGGATGATTTGTCCCGCACTCTTCCTTCGGGGAGCAGATCGACGCAGGACTGGATAAGGAGCCATTCTAGACAACAGGAGATGATGACAACTCGTCATTCGTTCTCTGCTCTGCTGGAGGACGATATTGGTGGAGGCGATACGGAGATTGTGGACTTGGATTTTGGCTTATCGACGGGGAGTGCTGCGGCAACTATACACACTCGCACGTTCAACCCAGTGCCCGACCTGAGCGTGGGGCAAACGACAGTGCACGAGGTTGGAAAGGTGGGGCGTGATGGAAGGTCCTCTCTGCAAGGTGGCAACATAGATGGGTGTCGTCGGCCACCTTCCTTTTCTCGAGGTGCGGAATCATCCAGTGACATGGAGAGGACGCCGGACGGTGTTGCCCCCCTCTTTGGCATCGCCTTCGACTGCACCGCGACAAACGGTGGCCACCCTGGTAGTGAACAGAAGTGTCAACAGACTGGAGGAAGGTGGCAGGCAGGTGTGGGAGTCATATCGGCGACAAATGCGTCAAGCGAGCGTGGAGAACATAACGAATGGGGTGTCGAGGATGCGTGTGGCAAGCGAAGAAAAGAATGTGGAAGACTCCCTGCGGGCGAGTGATTACGAATCTCCAGATGTTCTTTGCGAAGAGGAAGTGGAAGACGTTGAGGACATGGAGACTCGACTTGTGCCTATGCATGGTAGAGAAAGGGGTGGAGGCATGCGTCAAGAGAAGGTCGTTTCCCATTATGGTCATCGATCGAAGGGTCCGGCAGGCGAGAAGGGTGGGAAACATCCGCCGTGGGGTTTTGGGAAGATGATCAAGCTCGCTCGAGCGAAGAGGAATCAACAAGCTCATTTCGAGGCCCTGGGCATGCAACACAACTACGAGCGGATGCGTAACAGGGAATGGAAGCTGCAAGAACCGCAAAAGTGTTTGATGGAAGTGGGGATGAACAAGACCACTGGCGACATTGGTAAGAAATGGGATAACCTCTTCCAATAGTGTAAGTAAGTGCAACGGTATCAGAACCCCTTTGGGGTGAAGAACTTCAACTTGACACCTGCGTTGAGAACGAAAGAGGGCGTCAACCTAAAGATCGAAAATATGTACCTTGAAATCGACAACATGTCCAAGGGCAATAATACCATTTACCCGGACAACCTCGCCGACACGAGCACCCGCGAAGGAGTGCAGATGTCACATGAGCCATCCGTTGCTGGAAAATCCGTCGTTGGGCCCCTTGGGGGAGATCCGGGTGATGGCAACGATGACGATGGAGGCTCGTCGCAGGAGTCCAGCTTTTGTGCAGGTAGCACAGGAGGAAACGGCAAAAAAAAAAACAGGCAGCAGACTTTCGATGCCATCATCGACGTCATGCAGAAGCACGATGCATTGATAGCTGGCACCGTGAAGGGGACAAGCAAGCGGTAGTGTTCCATTCTGGAGCGGCAGTGCGACATACTTGAACGTGAGGTAGATGCCCAGCAACGACACTATGAGGCGTTCGACAAGCCGAACAAGATGTTGTGCATTACATTGCTGGAGATTGCCAAAGCCATCTAGGACAGATCTTGATGCGGCCTCAGCTCCTGCGTCTGCCGATGTTCTCCCGCGGTCGGTTGTCATCTCGATGCATATATCGGCGTTGCCTCCCTCACTTGTTCTCCGTTCGTGCCACAGTCATGGTGGTCATTCCAGACAGTTTAGTTGAAAGCTCGTGGTACGTGGTAAACGGTGGTATGGTCGGTGACGGGATTGTTAGTTTCGTTTAACGGTTGTAGCACGTGATATTGCTGGGGGTTGGATTGTTTCTTTGTCGGGACTTGTTCGTCTACATATATACACGTATATATATATGTATATATATGTGTACATATATATGCCCCCTGTTTTGTTGTATTTGGTTGTTCCCTTCCTCTCTTATTTGCCTTTTTGCCCTTTGGCTGTGTGCAAGTGGGTCGATATGACACACGGGGGTGGGGCCAGCCGCCGCTCAACCTACATCCACATGGGCGGCCTAGTACGCAAGAGGTTCTGAACAGGGGGAGTTGTAAGGAAGAAGATAAAAAATGAATTGATATCTTTTTTGTTTCCTTTTGTTTTTTTCGTTTTTGCGCTCTGATATTCATGTGACGATATATATATTTCTAGGAGACACTTTTTTGGTTTCGTTAGCGATTTGTCCTCACAACATATCAGTGTCCGTAGTTTGTGTTGAAGTGGCGTGAAACGTAGATTACACGCCGCGAGTTATGGCGCCTTTGTTACATTTCATGCACGGGACGACTTCTATCCACTTGTTTGTGTTTATGTTGCAAGCCATTGTGACTTTGTGGGCCGTTTTTGTGACTGCTTTGCACAACTCTCTCTCTCTCTCTCTCTCTCTCTCTCTCTCTCTCTCTCTCTCTCTCTCTCTCTCTTTGTGTGTGTTTGTGTATGTGTTTGGAATGGTGTTTCAAACAATGTATATGTTCATTGATTGGAATGGGGTACAAAAAACGAACATTAAAAGACCCATCTTTGAACCCAAATTTGGCAGCGATTTGTGTTGATAACATGGCATGCTTCCACTGACTTCACATCCTTTGTTTTCATTAATCCACACCTCT